TGCTGAACTGAATCTATAAGCGCCAAATGAAGATGTATATGGTACATTTAAATGAGTTATTTTATTTTATTTATTCATTCATGTATTTATTTTCAACAGGAATCGTGGTGTGTAACTGGTTGGTCATCTTCAGTGTGTGTTTCACCATGATGTGTACCTTTGACCCCACTGGACGGACCTTTGTGAAGCTGAAAGCAACTCGCCGCCGTCAGCGTAACCTCACAACATACACCCTCAGGTACAGCGCTTAATAGTATTCATGCTAGCTTATTTCAGGATACCCACCAATGAATGAAGATTTAACTGCCCGTCTTTTGCAAAGTTGTACAATTCCCCCACCCTTTAATTGTTCATTTATTATTTTGTTATTTCTATTATGTTTTATGCAGCCAATAAGAGTGTAGTATTTATTTTACCCTATTTAAATCCACTCTATAGATTTCTAAGAGTGCACATTTTATGCAGTGTTGTTGTTATTATTAACTAAAAATAAAACTTAAAAGAAAGGTAATTGAAATAAAGCTGATATAAAATTAAGTATAGATATTAGTTAAAGTTGAAGTACTAAAATAACTAAATTAAAAATATTAAAAATAAATTAAAGCTAAATAAAAACAATTAAAAAACAAAAAATAATAAAAATGACAAAAGCACATTCAATTACTTAAACTAATAAAAAAATAATAATATTTCAATTAGGCAACATTTTCAAATTTTCATTTAACTTGAAGTACTAAAAATAAATAAAAAAATAAATGAAAGCTAAATAAATATTTAAAAACAAAATTGAATACAGATGACAAAAGCACGTGAATTACTTTAATGTTAAAATGAAAAGTGAAAATATAAAAATAAAAAAAATGAAAATAACCATAAATACTTTAATAAAATAAATACTAAAATAAGATAATAATAAATATTAAAATAATACTGAATTGTATGCTAATTTTTGCTTACAGTTTTTTTAAGTAAAATTGAGTAAATATTATGTAAAATAAGCATTTGTTTCATTTTAGCAATATGAAGAAGAAGAAGAAGAAGAAAGAGCTTTATTGCCAAGTATGTTTGCACATACAAGGAATTTGTTATAGTGTCACAAGCTTCCAGTACACGGAGACAACAACAACACACAGATAATAAAAATGAGATGTGAATAAAATACACATGCATAAATATAAACCACAAAAAAAAGAATAAATTGTATGTACAGGTGTGCTATAGATGGAATAGGAATAGAATAAAATAAAATAAGTTGTAGGGATGTACTAGGGTTTAGGGTGATAAATAAGTATAAGGTTATTGCACATACTGTACTTTTATTGCACAATGGGAGAACATTAACTGTTCATGAGGGCAGATTTAAGTTTATGCCTGTAAGTCGGTATAAGATGAACCAGGCAGTGGTCAGAGAGTCCGACAGCTGCTCTGGGGACCGAGCGATATGCATCCTTTATTGTGGAGTAACAATGGTCCAGTATATTACTGTCTCTGGTGGGACATGTAACATGCTGTCTGTATTTTGGCAGTTCATGGGAAAGATTTGCTTTATTAAAGTCCCCGAGAATGATTAAAACAGAGTCCGGGTGTTGTTGTTCTGTCTCTGTGATCAGATCAGCGAGTTTCTGTAAAGCTGAGCTCACGTGTGCTTGCGGAGTAATGTAAATACTCACGAGAATGAACGAGTGAAACTCCCACGGCGGATAGAACGGCTTACAGTTAATGAAAAGCGCTTCTAGATCGGAACAGCATATCTTCTTTAACGCTACATATTCGCTATAATATTGTGCTCATCCCATTTTTACACATTAATACATTAACTGGAAACATATTTTTTTGGACTGTCTTGCTTTTAATGTATATAGAAAACTCTATTATAAAGTGAACTCACTTAAAGAGTTATTTAGTATAATTATGCCCAAATAAGTTTTAGAATTTTTATCATGTTAAAGTAAAAAATCTTGTGTAATATAACTTGTCTTTGTTTGTTTGCTGGTTTTTATTGTATTTGTTATACTTGTGTTTTGTTTATTGTTTTTGCCATGAAAATAGCCTAAGATGCTGACATGGCATTAAATAAAAACATACTACTACTAAACATTAACTAGTATTGTGTATTTATATACAGTTATGCATTTTATGTGTTGCATACACCATTTTTCCACTGCTGTCTCTAGATATGTGTTTCGATCCTTGTAATACCCATCTGTTGACCTATAATTCCTAAATTTGCTCATGATATTTGCTCAGTTGGGTTTTATCTCTTTCAGACACAGGCTAGAAGAAGGTCAAGCCAGCAGCTGGAGCAGGAGACTCAAGTTCTTCATGTGCTGCACCCGAGCAAAAGATACACAATCTGTAAGACTCCAGCACCAACTCAAATACACACAGGTGTTGGTTATTGTGAGAGCATCTCACACATACACACACACAGCATTCTCAGCAGAAGATATTCTCTCTCAGGATGCTTACTCTGAGGTGGCAAGCTTGTTTGCCGAGTTTTTCCGGGATCTGGATATCGTGCCGAGTGACATCATCGCTGGGTTAGTGCTCCTCCGACAGAGACAACGGGCCAAGAGAGCAGCCATCTTGGATCAGGTGTGCTTTATCTTATCAGTAATACTGCTTTTGATTGGATGAATATTCCTCACGGTCCTAATAATAATAATAAAAAAATTTCGCTTTCTGTTGCAGGCAAACAATGACGTTTTAGCCTTTCTGTCCGGGATACCTGTAACTCGCAACACTAAATACTTGGACCTCAAGAACTCGGTATTTGAAGAATGCAATGTATGTGTGTGCTTGTGTCAATGTATGATTATTATTTATGATGCTCTCCTTCTGTTTACAGTCTGAGATGGCCATGTATAAGGAGGTGTGTTACTACATGCTGTTTGCCATGGCAGCGTATGGCTGGCCCGTATATCTTTTAAGACAACCAGCGTGTGGACTCTGCAGGCTCGTCAGCACTTGCTCGTACGTAAAAAAAACATTAGACCGTTCTGCACAGCTGGTAGGAAGTGAGATAAGAGTAAATAAGAGAGGCTTCTATAATTGTATAGTTACCTGCCATCATGTTTTTGGTAGACTTACCTCTTTACTAAACTTAAAGCTGATTAAACTGATTAAAATTATGAATTGAATTTTTGAATTAATAATACATGACATGTCAATAGTATAAATATAAGATACATCTGTAATTTATTATCAATTATAACATGCAAATATTGTGTGTGTGTGTGTGTGTATGCATGTATGTATATGTATATATATATATATATATATATATATATATAGTGTGCTGTGTATATTTATTATGTATATATAAATACACATGCATGTATATATTTCAGAAAAATATAAATTAAATATATTTATTTATAAATAAATATATATTCATATAAATTATATGAATATAAATATAGAGAAATAAATACATGTAAATATTTTCAAAATATATACTGTATGTGTGTGCATTTATATGGACAT